CACCTCTGAGCTGCAGCGAGGACAACTATGTTGCCAGCGCGCCCACCGCAGCCGTGCTCAAAACATATGAATTTGCCGAAGTTAAGACCGCGGCAATCAAGCGCGACCCCGGTCTCCTCTCCACGGAGGGAGCGTCGAGGCTGTCCAAGGAGGTGGTCGCCGCCATCCTCGAGGAGCTCGCGATCTGGGTCACATGGAAGCGTTTCGAGCGACGACCTCTCAACGGCGCTCGGAACGTCATGGGCCCAGACGCGCGTTCAAGTGCAAGCGCCGCAAGGGACCTGGCTGCAAGATGGCCAGAATCATCCGGCGCCGCATGGCGCTGAGAAGCTTCCGCGACATGGGCGCTGGAGCCTCGCTGGCTTTCGCCGGCGCTGCGACGCGGGCGCCCCGGCGCAATCTGTCCTCAGAGGCGGCTCGTCGCCCAAACTGGGTGCGCGTCGCCGCGGGCATCGAGATGGCTATCCTGCAGGTCGCGACTGCGCCGAGGTGCAGGGGCAGGGCGAAGCACCGCGATATCTCGGCGAACTCTCGCCCCGCCGCCTGGCAGCGCTGCCATCCTCCAGCAGGCCCCCGGCAACGAGGCCTTCGACGAGCGGGCCGAGTGCCTGCGCTGCGCGGGCCGGGCACGGGCTGCAAAGATGCGCCCAGAGCTTTCCCCATGGAGCTCGCCAGGGCCACGCGCTCGCCCGAGCGCGCCAACCCGACGCGCAGGGGCCCCGAGGTCCAAGTCAAACGTGGGGCGTCCGGCACATGTCTCGCCAGCGAGTCAGAGCTAGTGCCCATGCTGCCCAAGCGCGTCGACGATCTCAAGATCGCAGGGCGCAAGGGGCACGGCGACCGACTCATCGGCCACATCGAGAGCGTCTTTGGGCAAATGAAAGGGGATTGCGACGACTCTACGAAGTGCGGAGTCCACCAGCACCGCTGCGCCGACCGACGGCGCAGCGACGCTCGACCAGGACGAGCGCCCGACGCGCTGATCCCCATGCGTCTACCTTGGTGCCCCCCCCCTCGGAGCAGCCGCCTGCGCGCCGCCCGCGCATCGCCGCGCTGCCGTCTACATCGTCGCGCTGCAACGGGCCAAGAACAGGCTGCCTATCAGACGCGCGGTGCACCTCAACTCTTTGGTTCTTGCCACGCAGAAGATCATGGCGCGCGTCGCCTCCCCGGCGATGGGGCGCGCGGGCCAGACCAGCGCGGCCAGCGGCGGCTCGTTCAAGCGTCAGGAGGAGGCAGGATGCGGCACGCGTGGCGCCACATACACGCTTCTGGGCAAGTGTCGCAGCGCTGGTAAACAGTTCGCGTCTGGGTAAGTGCCATGTGCATGATGCTGTGGGCCGATCGCACATGCATTCGCGTCGATCACCGTTCGGCCCAGAGCTGCTCGAAGCGCGCGGAGCAGCGGGCGGCCCGCAGGCATGCCCCCCGACGCTCTGCGAGATAGCGCGCGGACCCGCCTTGCCAGATGAGATGAGGAGGCTGATGGGAGTAGGGAGGTTACGCTGCGCCGGCCGAGCTGGTCGCGGGCGGGGCGTCGTCTTCTCCGCCCCAGCCGTGGACCGCGCGCGGCTGCCGTCGGAAAATTGCATGGCAGGCCGCCCGCGGTGGCTGGCGGTTCGGCTGCGCACCCAACAGGCCCCGGATATGCCGCGGTGCGATACTCGCGACGCGAGGACCAAACCCACGACGCAGGGACGCACCGGCCGAGAGCTCATCCTCGACGTCGCGGAGGGAAAGCTCGCCTACGAACGCCCGAGGAACGGCGCGAGAAGACGGCGCCGAGCCCCGGACGCAGCAACCTCAACGAGGACATAGACAACGCCGCTGGATTACACTCTCTGCACCGCACGTTTGAATCGCGTTCGCAAATGCGTCGTCCGACTCGCACATCGCGAACTGCGTTCGCGAATGCGACGCAGTCCAGCAGGCGCGGAGAGATGCGAAGAGCGAAGCATGCCAGTGGCTGGGTTGCCTCCGCGAACTGCGTTCGCGGGGCAGCAGGTTTCGGACAGCGCAGCATGCAAATGAACAGCTGCGCGCGCCATTCGAATGTTCTGCTGTCAGGCAGTTTTCAACAGGGACCTGGTTCATCTAATGTTTTCCGCGCCCAGCTCCCCTCACTTGTCGAACTTTTTATGAGGGACATGGTCAGTGTACTCTCCTCTCGTCTTAGTTCACTTTGCTTCGTTGGTTCGGGTGCGGTTTGCGCGCTCGGGCCGACGAGGCGCAGACAGATTCGCTTGGGCACCGGGCTCGAACGGTAGGTCATTGCAGTGAATTATATATTGTATTATCTCTTGCTCTTGCAGTCGCCTCCCTCACCGCGGCCGTTTTGGCTCGGGGGCGCGAAAGTTGGCCGAACTTTCGCGCCCGTGTTGCGCGCGCGTTACGCCTGCCGTTTTATTCGTCCGCGTGCTGCAAAACAGTCCGCCTTGCGCCCTTCGCCTTTACCTCTAGTCCCCTGGTGCTCCTGCTCCTCCCGCTCCTTCCACTCCAGCTCCTGCTGCTATTGTCTGTTGTCGTCCTCTTCGTTCCGCCCTTTCCTCCTCCCCCCCCCCCTGCAGACGAGCGCGCTCGGCCTCGGACTTGGCGGGGGATCGCCGACGGGGGCGCCCGCCGATAGACGGGCCGCCGCCGTCGCCGTTGTGGGAGGGCGCAGAGCACGGCGAGCGGATGACCAACAACGCGGGCATCATGATGGATACCATGACATGGCTCTCCAGGCTGCTGGCGCAAGTAGCGCAGATGCAAAGGGGGAAGCACTGGGGCGCGCCCATGCCGATGGGCACTCAGAGCCCCGCCAACAGCATGGAAGGCCATGCCGACAACGAGGCGAACGGCAATCAGGAGGCGCGCTTCGCGATGATGGAGTCGATTCGAGCACAGATCGAACGGGCGGAAGAGATGGAGAGACCGCTGCTCGCGGCGACGGACGCGGCGACCCCTAGCAACGAGCTGGCGAGATGCCCGTGGGGCACGAGCCCGCGGCAGGAATCGCACTGGGACGAGGCGCGAGAGGGCTGGCGGCTAGAGGGGGGGGCTGCGCCAAAAAAAACACCGGGGCCTTCGACGGGGCCCCAAAGAGCACCAGGCCTCCTTTGCCTCTCCAACGGCCCGGGCAGACCCGACTGCCCCCCAAAAGAGAAGAAAACAACACTACCAGCAGAAGACGCCAACGCGACGGAGATGGCTCAGTGGGAACGGGGTGGGTTATAGCGGGGCACCGACTAGGGCTTGCCAACAGGGGGCCGCGCAGCGCATCGGGGCTCAAGTGCAAGAGCAGATTGGGCACCTCAGCGGGGCGCGCGTAGAGTCGAGGTCGCCGGCCCCGTCAGGTGCAGCAGCGACGTGATCGGCGACGCGAAATACGTCCTAAGGAGCGCGGGGGCGAACGTCGAGAGGACGGGCGCTGCGCGGGCTTCGACGGCGGTCGACATAGACGCAGGCGTCGCCAAGCTGATGGACCGCGAGCACAGGGCCACGCTCAGCCTCGGCAGGCGCAGCGCGCCGCAGGTCAAGACGGACCGGGAGGGGCTGGCGAAGGAGACGGACTTGTCGCATCTCTCGGACCAGATGGGCTGCCTGTCCTCGCGCGTCGCGGGGGTGCCGAGGGCGGGGGGCCTCGCGACGAGGCCGGCGGGGGCCGACGCGGAGCCGCCGAGCGACAGGAGCAACGATGAGGAGACGTGGATCCCGCGCGGCTGGACAGTGAAAACACCCGAACTCTGGCTCGCCTGCGAGAAGATCGCCTACGGCAAGAAGAAGGACGACAGCCAGGATAACACGGAGAACACGAAGAAGACGCAGAACACCGAGGGAGCCAATGAGATACTTGCGGGAGATGAGATCGAGAACGCCATCGCCGAGCTGCAGAAGAAGATAGAGGGGCGCAAGGAGAAGCTCCAGAAAAGGGCGGCCCCGAGCAGCGCGGAGGTGGAAGCGCGAGCCGTGGCCCCCCAGCCCAGGCGAGCCCCGGGAGGTCAGCGCAGCCCCGAACCCTCGCTGGACCAGCCGAGAGGCAAGGTACCGCCTTCTACCCGGGGATGGAGGCAGGCCCGACAGCTTAGGAACAGAGGAAAGAAGAAGGACCAGGTCGACCCACAAGTAACCAAGTAACATTCCGACCCCAGCTACGACATTGTATTTTACTGCGCTGGATAGGGTATTGATTCAGATACGAACAGGTCGTGCACGGAGGACTCGGGGGCGATGGGGCCCCCTTTTAGCAGTTCTGGCTGTTTCCTCTCTCTTGTCGTGTTAAGTGCGTGAGGTGGCGCGTGTTCCCTTTTTTTGTTTTCTCTCTCTCTCTCTCTCTGTCTTTCTCTCTCTCTCTCTCTCTCTCTCTTTGTGTTCTCTATCTTTCTCTCTCTCTCTCTCTTTCTTTCTCTCTCTCTCTCTCTCTCCCTCCCCCCTTTCTGAAGGGCCCCAGGAGGGTGCAGGCGCCCTGGCGGATAGCGCGGTCAGCACGGTGCCCCTCCCTTGAGTAGGTAGCGCAGCCCCCCCCCCCTCCTTGAGGGCGTTGCTCCACTTCAATAGAGGTCAGCAGCGCCCTCCTTTCTGTCTAGGACGGCCGTTTTTAATAATAAGCCTTCCTGCGGCGCGGCACGCCTGCCCCGCGGTCTCTGAGTGGGCCACGCGGCGCTCCGGGCCGTCCTGGGGGTGTTGCCCCCGCCCCGCTTCCATATGGATCGCGGGGGCTTAGAGTTGTTCCAGCAGGAGTCTGCGGGATGCCCCCTGTGCGCCTTTGCCTTTGCCTTTGCCTCCTTCTCTTCCTCCTCCCCCTCCTCGTCCTCCTCCTCCTCCTCTTCCTCCTCCTCCTCCTCCCTCCAATCCTCCTGCGCATCCGTCACGTCGTCGTCGTCGCCCTCCTCCTCCTCTTCAAAAGTAAGCGGGTCCTACCTCTCCGAATGCGAATGTCACGATGAGGTCTTCTTTGGAGTTCCAGGTCCGCGAGTGCACCTAGCTTGTCCCCCACTCGCGCCCCCCCCCCCCTTCAGGCCCAGCTCCGCGCTTGGCAGCAGGAGCTGCGCGGCCCCGCTGCTCCTGCGCCGGCGGTCGTGGCGCCGCCCGGGGTGCAGGAACGCTGTGGACAAGGGGGCCTCCTCTGTCCCCGTCCGTCCATTCCTTCCTTTCTCCCGCCTTCCCCCATGTTGTTCCTCCTTCATCCATCGTCCCCCCTTGTCCCTCTACCCGCTTCCTCCTTTCCATTCCTTCCCCTCCTTTTTCCTTCCTCCCCCCTGCTTTTCCTTCCCCTTTCCCTTTCTTTCCTTTCCTCCCCCTTCCTCCCCATTCCCCCCTTTCCCTTCCCATTCTCCCACTCCGCTCTTCCCCTCCTTTTCCTCCTTCCTCCTGAGCCTCCTCCTCCCCTCTCATCATCCCTCCTCCCCCCTCCTTTTCCGCCCCCCACTTGGCCCGCTCCCCCCTTCCTCCTTGTCCGTCCTCCGTTCACTATTCCTTTCTCCCTTTTGCTTCCCCTTCCTTTTTTTCCTCCCCCTTTCCCGTTTCCGTTTCTTCCCCATGTTCTCACCTTCTCGCATGCCCGCAGACCAGAAGGGCGCTATGCCATGCCATGAGCAGCAGGCGCCTACAACACATGAAGAGCTACACGGCTGGATCGCAGAGGACGGAGTGGGAACAGGAAGAGGAAGCAGAGGCAAATAAGGGAGGGAGCAAAGAGGTGATACGTGTCTCAGCCTGTAGCTTGAGCCAAGCAAACCCCTCCGAAGTAGCTTTCACCGCTCAGTTGAACGCTTCGGGTTGGTGCAGGGCTTAGAGAGCTTGCAGACTTAACCAACAGAAGCTCCCCGCAAAGCGTACAACACATGACTGGCATGTCAGTTTCTTCCACCCTCGCCCAGTGCAGTTTATGGCCCGCACCCGCACCCCCCTTCAGTAGGGCAGAGAGAGAGAGAGAGTGGTGGCCACGGACTGGCACGTGGTGGAGGTCAGCCCGGAGACAATCCTGAGACACTGCAGAGACTTCATAATTTCACCGTGGCAGACTGGGAAATGGTTGTGGTCTGGGGTCTTGACCACTTTTGGCCGGGTCGCCTTGGAAACCTTGCCAAATCGGACCTCACAGAAGGGCCACGCTTCGAGCACATGCAAAGCACCAGTGGCAAGGCCCTGATATTCAGATTCAGCTGCTTCTAGATCCTGAAGCTCCCGGGGCGACAGATCGTGCAGCTGCGCCCCGAGTTTCGCAAGATGACCAGACAGCGTGGAGCTTGCTACTCTTGGGAGTTGGTGCATCCTCGAACGAACGGTGGGCTCTGAGTTTCCCGACGCTTGGCTTCTCTCCTACTCCCATGGGTAGATCGATCTCACGCCCAAAGAAACTGGAACAGTTCTTATCTGACAAAGCTCACTTGGGATGGAAAACCCCAGCAAACAAGCCCGAATAGTCAATCCTGATGACCCAGAGGGCTGGCTGTGATGGGAAGAACCTTACGCAGAATAGAGACCGCAAGCCCACAGGGCTCAGCATCCGAACTGTGAAGCAGGCTGGCAGGGAGGGGTTCGTACACATCTGTCCGTATACACCTCGCACGGCTTCCCGTCTTCCATCCACGGAACAGATGCCAAGACCAGCCTTGGAGATCTCAACTCTGTCCTCGTGGTACCAAGACCCGTCCGGACTTGGCGCTGAGGGCCTACAAACTTGAGCAGCCAATCATCCATTGGCCCCAGGGAGCTCAGACATGGCAGGCCATAGCCCTGAGAAAAGACGGCGGGACAACCCAGCATTCTCAACCTGCGCCAAACATTGTGTCACTTTTGAGTAGGTAGCCCGTCAAACTTAGACGGTACACATGTCCAGCAAGGGGTGAGAGCTTCTTTGTTACCCTCACTAGCGCAGGGAGCCACACGCCTCCGCAAGTTCTTGATTCAGGCCACTGCTGGAAATTACCTTCGAAACGGACCGACTTAGAAACTTCTTGGCCAGATCGGCCACGAACAAATCCGCAACCTGCTGGGGCGGGGATTGAGTGAGGTCCCAGCGCCTGCCTTGGGCGCTGACGAAGATAGCAGGCCCTTCCCAAGTCCACCCACCCTCGCCCAACCACAGAAGCATAGAAGAGATGGGCCATCGGGTCCCATTAAGCCAGGGCTTCCCCTTGGACTTTTGAACCTTGCAGACGCACGCGTGGAAAACATTGCGCAGCGTGCCCGTGGTCAGAGCATCAGCGCGACGCGCATGACTATGAAGAGGCGTTCCTGATGAATGCCGTAATTCGCACGCACACCTTTTCAATGGACCACCTGCAGGTGAAATCGGATCGCTCTTGGGGCTTGGGGCCCACATCATGCCAAGTTGCACAAGCGGATGCTGATGCCTCCAGCTTTTCCTGCAGAGCGACGCATAGTGAGCAAGTCTTCGGGGGTGATTTTGCGCACCTCCATGCCAAAAGACCGAGTGGAGAAGATGCCAGACTTGAAAAGACGAGTCTTCTTGGCCTTTGGGACCTAGAGGCCACCCAGCCTCGTCTATCGAAAACGAAACTTACCCATTCGTTTACTTCTGACTGCTGCAACAGGCCGCATCCGGTGCTTCTCCGCGGTGAAGCTACTCCAAGGTCGGCAGGGGACCGCGTACTCCTGCCGGCAAGGTTACCCACCTCACCCACCGCCGCCTTGAGGGAAAAAGTTGAACGGTTGCCATCATCTTCTTCTCGGCCAGTGGGTACCGAGATATGGTGGCGGACAGAACGTAGGCTACACTCTTCACCAGATCATGTAGTTGATGGACACACCCGCATTGTTCAAGACGCCACGAACGAATGGACAAATCATAAACATGAAGACCCTAACTGGGACCAGGTCTCCACATCGCGTTTGGCGATGAGGTTTCCCCCTCATGCTTGGCGATGGGAGAAAGGAAGAACTACTTGGCCTCATATGTCGCTGACGTAAGACCCGCTAGTGTTCCGCTGGAGCGCCATGAAGGGACAGCGAAGGCCCAGACCAGAGGAGGACGCGGTTCCACTTGTAGGTGGAGAGGGTGTAGATCAGGACATGTGGGGGGGGGCGAGGCGGGGGGGCCTGACAGGGCGCTCTGGCCCATGAGTTGTTGGTGGTGAGTGTGATCGTAAAGCTGCAAGAGGTCCCGAAGAATGGTCGCGTTGGGTCGCGCTTTTCATCTGGAGCCCCGTGGAGTGCCCGGTCGACACTCCGCCTCCTGATCAGATCAAGAGCACTTCGCCCATGTCCCATGGAAGACTCTGACCCGAGACCCGCGGCGATCTCCCTGGACCTGCAGGGGTCCTTGTTGGTCTTGCCATGGTGCTTCGCAAGCACATTATAGTGATCTGTGGGCCTACGACCCTTGTCCGGCCTGCCCATGAGGGAAGCGGCATTTGCTCTGGCGCTTGTCCCGAGATATCGCGCAAATGAAACAGATGGGAAATTGTGCAGAGGCTTTGGCCCGAGAGAAAGCTGAAACGTTTGGGGTGGACGCCGCCAGGCTAGCTCGTGGAGGCCGCGCACTGACTGCCGGTTCGCCTCAGCTCTTTGATGGGCACCCGCACATCTGGAGACATTGCCTCGCCATGCTGCCGAGGATCATCGCGCGCCTGCCAAGCAGCGCGCCAAAGAGAACGCCCCTGCTCAAGGCGATGAGGCAAGGGGCTGGATTAAGGGCCGCCACGCACCGCAACCTCTTGGTTGATGGGCCCCCCCGAGCCGCGGTGGGAGGACGCCTGCTCCGCGCGGGGGGCAGTGGACTGAATGGCGCGCGAAGACCCGGCAGTGGGCCCTCGAAAGAAGCGCCGTGAGACTCTCCCATCGAAGACCTTCCCAGGGCCCTCGCTGGTCGAGGTGTTTCCAAACGATCGCGAGGGTGCCGGACGATGGCCTCCCGACGTAGTTTGGATACGCTCCACCCACATCTTTGGAGTCTAGCTATCTGATGGTTATATAGGGCGCCGTGCATCCGTCGTTCTTGCAGCCAAGCAAAGTCGGCCTTAGGAGACCTGGCAAACTCGGTAAAGCTGGACGTCTTGCTAGCACGTCATGCCCCTCCATGTCGGCCTGAGCTCACCCTTACAAGCTGTGCCCACTGAGCGTGACGAGGGAGACGGATTTGCTGGCCGAGTCTTGTGGCGACGACGTGTCTGAGGATGGGCTCAGTAGGCGTCCGCCACGCAGAGGTCCCGACCTGCTCGCACGGGCCCCTGATGGGGAAGTCCTGGTAGCCGAAACCGCACCCTGTGACGACGGCGTATCTGGCGTGGGCTCAGTAGGCACTCGCCCACCAGAGATCCTGACCTGCTAGCACTGACCCCTGATGGCGATGTCCTGGATGACGATGCCGCGCCCTGTAGCGACGATGTATCTGGTGAGTGGCTCCATGGTACCCACCCACCGGAGATCCTGACCTGGTAGCGCTGACCCCTGTCGTCGACGTTCTCGAATGCCGAGCCCAGTCACGTGGCGACGACGCGCCGAGCGATGGGGCTCAGTCGGCGCGCATACGATAGGAGGCCCGGCTTGCTAGCAATGACCCAATTATCCGGCATGCGCGGCATTAAGGCTGACCCACTAGACGAGGTTACTGAAGTTGAAAGCGTCACTGACCGACCTGTGGAAATCGCACCGGGCAAAGCCGAAGGTGCTAGATTTGTTGTAGAAAATAGGGTGGAGTCACTCGATCCACCGCGCCCGGAAGGTCCACGGGGGGATATCGACCACTTCAAACTTGTCGATGGAGTCGAACACCCACCCACCAATCTTGGAAATATTGATGGAGCAGCCCGCAAATTCGCAAATGCAGGAATCAGACTTGAACTGATACTGGCTTGATGACAAAAAACCCTCTCTGTTAGGAGTTCCCCGATTTAAGCTGTGTTGTGGAGACATAGTTGAAGACTCTGCCTGAGGGACCTGGAGATCGACTATGAGGTTTCTTGGCAGCTGTCCTGATGGTCTCCATGATGGACCTTGATGGCATCGCTGACTGCTCGAATGGGCTCGCGCACTTCGAGCAGATACGCATCGTCCACATCCATGCGTCCGCCTGCGGGCACGTCGGTCCCGTCAGCGGGCCCTTCACCACTGCCGGCTTGAGAGCCACGGGGTGGCTCAGGAGTTGGATGAGGCCAATCTTCAGGAGAGGCCTGCCTGAACGTGCCAAGGAATACTTGGACTTGATTGCGCAGATCATCTCGGAACACCTGGCTACCTGAATTGCGATGGCACGCTCATCCCGCTGCTGGGTAATTTCCTCGACCTGTTGGGACAGCGCAGCGTGGCCCGACTCGAGTTGAGCAATCCTCCCAGCCCGTCTCGCATCGTCCTTCTCAGCTCCGAACGTGACCTGACTTGCGGGCGCTGCCTGGGCCTCTCCTCCTAAGCGGCCTTCCATTCAGCACTGGTGCTGTCTCGGGCAGCCTTGGGTTGCGCATCATTGAACTTGTTATGGGAAAGCTGGAAGATGCGGTGGGGTTCATCCAAGGCACCTTGTTGGGACTTGGGCCTAAACGGGCTACCAGTAGTTACTTGTGCCTATAGCCTTGCCGCCACCGTCGCCATCGCTGATCCTCTACATACTTCCTCCTCCACCCTCCAGAAACCACGAGGTGCAGGAGGGCCACAAGCAGCAAGACCACGAAGAGGAGACTTGCAATGGTAACAGAAATGAAAGAACATTGGGTTATTCTTGCGGCCTCATGTGGCACAAGCGATGGGGTTTCCTGGATATTGCGTCTTGCCCGTTGCCACCACCGCCGCCTCGGGCCATATCACCACAGCCCGATTCATATGTGAAAGGTAGGAACTTACTGGTCTGTAGGACACAGAGGGTGTCAGTCTCAAGGAATGCGTCTGGGCACCCGCTTGAAAGTCTGTCGCACAGCAGCGGAAACCACAAGCTCGAGTCCCCACGACACGGGGTTCGAACTTGAGCCAACATGGCCGCGTCCTTTTTTCATACCCTTCCTTCCCCTCATTCCCCTCCTCCCCACTCCTTCTCCGCCCCTACTCAGCACATTTCTCCCTCCTCTCCTCACTCCTCCTTTGCTCCCCTCCTTTCCAGGGGTGGAGGGAGAGGGAGAGAAACGGAGGGAGAGACAGTGATTGAGAGGAGGGGGCGGGTAGCGGATGGATAGACGGAGTGAGATAGGGAGGAGAAGCTGGATGATGGTGGTCGTGATGGTTCTGATGATTTTACGGGTTATCAGGATGAGGGCGATGAGGACGATGGGGATGAGGAGTCGGTGGAGGAGGAGGAGGAGGAGGAGGGAACCGTGGACGTTGCACAGCGTCTTGCATCTCCCCCTTTTTCCAATTTCGTTAGAGCAGCTGCTGGCGTTAAGGCGTTGGTCTAGGATCAAGCCTCCCTCGATGAGAGCTCAAACTGTCGCTGCCCTCGTCCGGTCTGCCCGCCGCACCGCCCCCAAGTGGCAACATCTTTGGACAAACCTGCAGCGTAAAGCCCAGCGGGTGCTTCCCATGACCACTTGGCTTGGTGATGTATGGTCGCCGAGCCACTGGCAGCGTTTACCTATTTTGCAAGAGCTGGCGAGGGATTATTTGAGTTTCTCTGGTTTTGCGCGGCTCAGGTCCCGCGTGGCGATGGCGGTGAAGGCTCTGGGTGAAGCGTTGGCTGGAATCCAGCATGACCCTGTCCAGCGCACGTTTGCCAGATATCTTTCGTGCACGCTCTTGAAAGGATATCTTGCTCCCACGATCTTCAAGAGGACCATGCAAGCGGGCAGGACGGGTGCCCTCCAAGCAAATTGTCGCGGGAATATGTTGGCCGATGCTTCGAGAATGTTTGTTGCCCCCCCCTTGCATGGCAAAGTTCTGGTGTGTGCGGGGGGGCGATTGAGAGGAGGATGGTGCAGACCAATTGTACGTGCCAGCTTGGTTCCTGACGCGGTGGGCGCGCAACGTCACTATGTGTAGTGTCCATTGCTGTGGCGTGCCATTTTACTTGTCGGGTGTCCCCAGGTCCCGATCGAGGTTTTTCTGGACAGGAGATATTGGGCATCGCTCGTGCGATGACGGACCCGCACAGGCTCCTGGCGGTCCAAAGGCTGTGCTTGAGTTCTTACATGTATCACTCGAGCCGGGGGACCCTTGGGACCGATGAAAGCATGCTGCTGATGCATGCCCGTGCTGCCTGCTCACAGTTGCTGCAATAAGCTGAGATTGAGGCACGATGGCTGGTGAACTCATTCCGATCTACGCGTGCGGAGGAGGAGCGGGAGGAGGAGGCGCAGCGCCACAAAGCAGCCGTTATTCACTTACATTCCGCGTGTTCTGTTATTGGCCGTCTTAGCCCGTTTGGCCCGCCTCGGGTAGAGGATGGATGAGGTGCATCATCTATTCCATGTGATGGCGAGGCAAGACGCCGGAGGGAGGATTCTAAGGAGGACGCGTATGATGGACGGAAGACGACGGCGACGAGGATGAGGGTGAGGATGAGGATGAGGAGGATGATGATTATGGTAATGGTGGTGATGATGATGGTGACGGTGATGAGGTTGATGATGATAGTGATGGTGTTGATGGTGATGATGATGGTGGTTGTGGCGGTGGCGATGCTGGTGATGTTGCTGCTGTTGGTGATGATGATGGTGATGATGATGATGATGATGATAAGGATGAGTGGGACCAGTGCCATGATGTGAGAGTGAGCATTTCATGTGCGGAAGGATGATAAGGAATGCCTGTTGTGATGATGCATACGACGGTGATGATGACGAAGTCTATGTACGATGATGGGATGATGCTGATGGTGGTGGTCATGATGGTGATGATGGTGCTGGTGATGATGGTGATGGTGACAGTTAGAGGATGGTCATGACAAGGACGACCCTGCTAATGCGGGGGTGTGAGGAGAAGGCGATATGGGGATGCTGAACATGACGATGATGACGACGCTGACGATGTCTACGACGACGACGTTGATGATGATGATATTGAGAATCATCATCATGCTGGTGATGATGGTGGTTATGATGCTGATGATGCGTATTAAGCTGCTTCTGTTTATGATGAGGAAGGGGATGATAAGTATGGGTGGGACCAGGAACATGATTTGAGCGTGAGCATGCCCCGTGGGCGGGAGGATGATAAGGACTGAGTGTGGCGATGATGTATATGATGGTGATGATGACGATGACGATGCGGCCGAGTCTCACGATGATGGTTTTGGTGGTGGTCCTGGTGGTCATGATGGGAATGAAGGTGGTGACGATGACAATGAGATGATGGTCATGATGATGAGGATTATGATGATACTAATGCTGATGTTGATGATAATGACCACGGTGGAGACGACGACGATGGTGATGATGATGATGCAGATGATGCAGATGATGATGATGATGATGATGATGATGATGATGATGATGATGATGATGATGATGATGATGATGATGTGAATGATGATGCTCATGATGAGGAGGAGGACGACGATGGTGATGATGCTGATGATGATGATGATGATGATGATGATGATGATGATGATGATGATGATGTTGTTGGTGACGACGAGTTCGATAATGGTGACGACGATGAGGGGGAGGATGGGGGAGGAGGAAGAGGAGGCAGAGGAGGAGGAGGAGGAGGAGGAGGAGGAGGAGGAGGAGTAGAGGGAGGAGGAACCGGGCGAGGGTGAGGCGGAGGAGCGGCAGGCTGGGGGCAGACAGTGAAGGTGGGAGCCGCCGTCGTGACCCCGCCCGTCGCGCAGGACTGCTCCGCGTTTGCGGCCGTCCCCTCGCAGCAGATCCTCCCCGCGGTCGTTCACCACGCAGCTTCCTTTGGTGCCCCGCCCGCCGCGCGGGAACGGGGAGGGCATCGTCTTGAGCGCGCGGCCAGCGGTATCCTCAGACACTTGCGACGCAACAAAAATCCCGACGTGTTTTTGGCCTCCCTTCCATCGTGTGAGGGGACAGTGTATAGTGGCAGTGCGAGTCGTTTCACTTTGCGGGCTGAGACGTGGTAACACTGCGTGGGGGCTGTGGCCCTAGCAACGGCTCAGGATGGAGAGAACTGGCCAACTGGCCCCAAGGAAGTTATCGATATCCTCGGGGCCGACGCCACGAGAGAGTTGCAGCGTCGGAGGTGAAGGGAGGCGGGGGTCATCGGATCAGCTGCATGCAGATGGACTTCCCGGCACCTCCTGGCGCCGGGAGGGACTCGCGACGCTGGGAGGATCTGGCAGGGACCATGAAGGCGCCCAGCGGCGAAGCCCAAACCAGTTGCGAGCAGCAGATGTCATACCCCAAGTCCGTCGTTTTTTTTGTCAACGTCGACCCCCAGGCGTCTCGAAGCGTTCCCTCGGACCGGCTCTTCATTCCGGGCCGTTTCTTGGCGGTCCCGGGCTCGGTAAGGCTCCTGCGTGTCTCCTCCGCCCGAGATTGGGGACATCTAGGCGGCAGCGGGCGAGCGAGGGCTCTGGGACGCCGCCCGCGCCAGCGGGCCGCGGCAGTCCTCGGCAGTCCTCTCGGGGCGTCCGCGGGGCTCTCCTGCAGCAGGCCGGGAGCTTGTCACCACCCACCGACCCACCCCAACCCAACCCGAAGGCCTCAATTTGACCTCCATTTTCAGTATGGGGGGGTCGGGGGACATTGAGAAAACACATCTGGAACCTGTAATTACCCCCCCCAACCCGAAATTCGGATCTTCGGGTCGGGTTGGGGTGGCCTGGGGGTGGCTTGGTAGGTAGTCAGCTTGGTGAGGGTCCTGAGATTGCAGGACGGTGCTGTGCGGATGCCCTGGCTGTGGTCGTGGGTCACGTAGTGGCTCGGAATCCGGCCCGTGCTGGGTGCCAGGGAGGACAATCTGGAGAGCGCTCCTCGTCGACGGGTCGACGGAGCATTGCCGTGAAGCGAGCTGGTCTTGAGGGAAATCGGTTCCGATGTTTTTCGCAAGTTTCGGGCCCCCGAGGCATTCCCAGGGCCCCAGGGCCGTCAGAAAACAGCTCACGACGAGCAGCTGGTCCTGGGAACTGGTCCTTGGGAAAGCCCACAGGTTCAGGACCCGTTGCCCTCACGACCCGTTTGTTTCGATGATCCTCAGGACGTGTATGAGCCCAACGTGTGTGTTACCCCGTCCAGCCCAAACCGCCTGCGCCGTATCGAAATGCTTCGATGAACAAGCACGCGTTGGTGCTGACACACGTTTTGAGGATCACTGCCAATAATGATATCGAATACGCCTACAGCGAATCACCGCCGCCCCGTGTCTTTTGGAAGCGCCCATGTGGCCTTCTGGCCAGAGCTCGGCCACGCTATCGGACTGGGTGTTCCTCCAGTCATTGTCGGAACCTTTCGGAGAATACTTGAGGCAGGAAGGGGAAGAGGATCAGAGGGAGTAAACAGGAGGATGAGGAGGAGGAGGAGGAGGCCTCTTCAGAGCTTTCGGGGCACTCTTAGAACCTCATGGGCGCCTCCTGGAGGCCCCTTGATGGCCTCTTGGAGGCCCACTTGGGCCTCGTCGGTGCGGGCGTTATGCAATTTCCGATTGTCTGACGCCCTTGGAAGCACTTATGGGGGCCTCTGGGCCGACTTGGGGCCCTCTTGGGGCGCTGCAGGGCCGTCTTGAAGGCCATCGTGGGCGTCTCTACTGGGTCGCTCTCCTGGGTCGTCTCAGGGTTCTTTGGCCGTCAAAAGGCCATCTTGGAGGCCTCTTGGTCGTTCTTGGGGCCTTCTTGGTGGCCTCTTGGGCCGTCTTGGGCCGTCGGAAATCCGAAAAGGAGCACATGCCAAAGTCTTTCAAAACTTGCAGCATACAAGTGATTTGGACATCTTCCGGTCTTCGTGTAGATCCTCTTGAAGGTCTCTTGGGCCGTCTTGGAACCCCCTCTTGTGGGCCTCTTGGGCCATCTTGGAACATCTTTGGGCCATCTTTGGCCGTCTTGGGTGCACGTCGGCCCGTCTTGGAGACATCTTGGGGCCATCCTGGGCTCTTTTGGGACCATCGCAGCCGTCTTGGAGGCATCTTGAAGGCCATCTTGGGCCATCTTGGCCGTCTTGAAAACCAGTCGTCCCGTTTTTACCGGCCTTCGCGGGGCCAGCGCATGAGGCCGAGACTCCATCGGGCACATTTAAAAAGGACCATAGTCATTCCAACGTCCAGCACGCCGTGCACCCCTGTGGCAAGCACAGGGGGCGGCGGATGACAGAAAGCGCGCCCAGCGTGCGATCCGTTAGCTGGGAGACATGAAGGGAGAGTTTAAGGTTGGCAGGCGGGGCCCCAGGGATGACGGAAAGCGCGCTCAGCGTGCGCTCCGTTCGCCGGAAGAGATGGAACCAGGGGGAGGTTTGCCCAGGGATGACGGACAGCGCGCTCAGCGCGTGGTCCGTCAGTCGGAAGAAATTCAACCAGGGGGAGCTTGAGGGGGTTGGCATAGGGATCTGCAGGGATCTGATAACTGAAATTGCGATGTCGCTTGGGACATCTTCGATGAGTTTAACTGAATTGGGATCGCTCTCGGAAGGCTTCAAGACGGCCCAACCTAGCCCAGCAATATTTCCCTAGTACCCCCCCAAACACGCCCCACTCGCCCCCCCCCCAAAAAAAAGCGCAACTGTTACTTGGGACGTCCTCGCGATATACTGAGATGTTGACGGCATCGCTCTTGCCCAAAATGCCGATCTCGCTAGGGACATCCCCCCACACAAGTGAAATGCTGTCGACGTCGTCTTGATCTTGGTCTTGCCCCACATTGCGATTTAGCCAGGGACATCCCCACACAATTGAGATGATGTCTACATCACTAGTTCCCAAAATATGCGGTTTAGCTGGGGGCATCCTCGCAACAATAAGATGTCGACGTCGTCTTGGTCTCGGCCTTGGCCATCGCCTGTGCCCCGAATGACGATGACGCTAAGGACATCCTCAAGCAACTTAGGTGTTATCGGCGCCGTCGGGGTTTTGGTCTTGCCCACACTGGCGACTTCGTTATGGGCATCTTCAACATATTACACGTTGTCGACATCGTCTTGGCATCGATCTTGTCCAGAATGCTGATTTCGCTCAGGACACCCTCAAGCACATGATATGTTGTCGACGTCGTCTTGGTCTCGGTCTTGCTCAAACTTGCGAGCTCGCTAGGGGCATCCCCACAACAATGAGAGAGATGATATCGACGTCGTCGTGGTCTCGGTCTGTCCGAACATGGTGATTTCGTCAAGGACATCTTCAATCAATAACATGTTATCGACATCGTCTTGGCATCGCTCTTGCCCAGCATGGCGATTTCGCTAGGGGCATCTTCACAATAATGAGATGTTGTCGACGTTGTCTCGGTACCGCTCTAAGACGGCCCATGAGGCTCCAACACGGATTCCCAGACGGCTCAAGAGGGCCCGAAGACGGCCCAAGAGTCTCCCAATATTGCCTTTGAGGGCCCCACGATCCCCCAAATATGCGACAAGAGCGAGAGGCAGAGAGGACGCGCCAACACACAGTAAGTTGCGCGTCCCGTCCCAGGGCCAAGCAGGTAATGGAAAGAGCGAGGTACGAGTGATGACGTTCTGGTGTGGGCGAAGCCCTAAAGGGAGGGGTTACAGGGGAGGGGGGAGGGTTGGAAGGATGCGGTGTAATGGCCGTATTCGAGTTTTCCCTAGGGTTGTTGTATATATTTTTCGGGTTCCCCCCCAAGACGGCCCAAGAGCGCTCCAAGAGAGCCCAAGATCGCCCAAGACGGCCCAAGAGGCCCCCAAGAGGCCCCCAAGAGGCGCCCAAGATGCGTCCCAAGAGGGCCCCAAGAGGCCAGAATCATTGATTTTCATTGGGGGAACGTGCATTTTTAGCATATGCGGCTTTTCGGCTTTCATGGCGTTGACGACGGCCCAAGAGGCCCCCAAGACCGCCCCAAGACGACCCAAGAGGCTCCCAAGGGGCCCCCCAAACGGCCCAAGAGGGCACCAAGAAGGCCCAAGAGGAGCCCAAGACGGGTAAAGAGGGCCCCAAGACGGCCCCAAGAGGGGGACCACGAACCGACAAGTCCAGCTTTTCGCCCCAAGACGCTCCCAGGAGGCCCCAAGATCCCCCCAAGAAGCCCCAAGAGGCCCCCAAGAGGTCCCAAGAGGGCCCCAAGAGGCCAAAATCATTGATTTCCTATAGGAAAAAAAGGCGCATTTTTTAGCATACACGGCTTTTCGGCTTTCACTGCGTTGAAGACGGTCCAAGAGGCCCCACAGATCGCCCCAAGACGGCCCAAGAGGCTCCCAAGAGGCGTCCAAAACGGCCTCAGAGGGCGCCAAGACGGCCCAAGCGGCGCCCGAGAGGGCCCCAAGACGGCCCCAAGAGGGGGACCACGAACCGAAAAGTCTAGCCTTTCGCCCCAAGACTTCCCCCAGGAGGCCCCAAGAGCCCCCCAAGAAGCCCCAAGAGGCCCCCAAGAGGCCTCCAAAAGGATTCTAAAAGGGCCACAATAGGACTCCCAAGAAGGCCCAGAGAAGCCAAATAAAGAGCGATCGGTAACGCAAAAAAGCTCTTCACACCAAGGCTCCCAAGAGCGAACGGTGACGTAAACAAGCTGATAAGACCAAGGCTCCCAGCAGAGAGCGGTGACGTAACAAGTTCCTGACACCAAGGCCCAGCCAAGGCTCAGGAACGGGCGGCAACGCAACAATTTCTGAACACCAAGTCTCCCAAGAGCGAGGGGTGACGTAACAAGCTCTCAACGCCAAGGCTCCCAGTACGAACGGTGGTGTGAGTAATTCCGGTTTCTGTTTCTGAAGTGCTCTTTCCGTTTCTGTGCCGGGCCAGGTAACGGAAACAGCGAGGTACGAGTGATGACGTTTTGGTGTGGGCGAAGCCCTAAAGGGAGGGGATTCCAGGGGAGGGGGGTGGGCCGGGGGAATGAGTGTTAATGGCTGTTTTCGGGTTTTCCCTTTGGTTTTTGTATGTTTTTCGGGTTCTCCCCTTTTCCGTCACAGAAGAGCCCAAGACAGCCCAAGACAGCCCCAGGACGTCCCAAGAGGCCTCCCAGACGCCCCAAGAGGCGCCCAAGAGGCGTCCCAAGAGGGCCCCAAGAGGCCAAAATCATTGATTTTCCATAGGAAAACGTGCATTTTTAGCATACGCGTGTTTTCGATTTTCACGGCGTTGACGACGGCCCAAGAGGCCCCCAAGACCGCCCCAAGACGGCCCAAGAGGCTCCCAAGAGGCCCCCAAAACGGCCCAAGGGGGCCCCAAGACGGCACAAGAGGCGCTCAATACGGCCAAAGAGGGTCCAAGACGGCCCCAAGAGGGGGACCACGAACCGAAAAGTCTAGCCTTTCGCCCCAAGACTTCCCCCAGGAGGCCCCAAGAGCCCCCCAACAAGCCCCAAGAGGCCCCCACGAGGCGTCCCAAGAGGGCCCCAAGAGGCCAAAATCATTGATTTCCTATAGGAAAAAGGTACATGTTTAGCATACACTGCTTTTCGGCTTTCACGGCGTTGAAGAAGGTCCAAGAGGCCCCCAAGACCGCCCCAAGACGGCCCAAGAGGCTCCCAAGAGGCCCCCAAAACGGCCCAAGGGGGCCCCAAGACGGCCCAAGCGGCGCCCAATGCGGCCAAAGAGGGCCCCAAGACGGCCCCAAGAGGGGGACCACGAACCGAAAAGTCTAGCCTTTCGCCTCAAGACTTCCCCCAGGAGGCCCCAAGAGCCCCCCAAGAAGCCCCAAGAGGCCCCCAAGAGGCCCCAAAGGGGCTCGAAAAGGGCCGCAATAGGACTCCCAAGAAGGCCCAGAGAAGCCAAATAAAGAGCGATCGGTAACGCAAAAAAGCTCTACACACCAAGGCTCCCAAGAGCGAACGGTGACGTAAACAAGCTGATAAGACCAAGGCTCCCAGCAGGGAGCGATGACGGAACAAGTTCCTGACACCATTTAGGTCCCTGGAGATCCCTGGAGGTCCCATGGCCCCTGGAGGTTTCCCGGGGTCTCCCCATACCTCCTCGCGTCGTGAAGAATCACGACGGACAGTTTCTGGCAGTTGTCATTTCTGTGGGGGCCTTGGGCAGGGTCCAGGGCTGCCAAAAAACGACTCGGGATAACAAAACGGTCCCCAGGAGGCGTTGCGCTGAAGGAGTGGGGTTCTCTTGATTGCGCGCGCCATCTGCCCGCGGGCCCGTCGCTTCCGCTCGGGCGGAGCCGGCGTTCCGCCAAGACTGTTGGAGAGGCCTGACGGCCGGTGCCGCCGACCCTGATCGAAAGGGCTAGGGGTGGGGGGAGGAAGCGGAGGATGAGGAGGAGGAGGAGGAGGAGGAGGAGGAGGAGGAGGAGGAGGAGGAGGAGGAGGAGGAGGAGGAGGAGCAGGGAGGAGGAGGAGGAGAGGAGGAGGAGGAGGAGGAGGAGGAGGGGAGGAGAGGAGGAGGGGAGGAGGAGAGGAGGAGGAGGAGGAGAGGAGGAGGAGGAGCAGGAGGAGGAGCAGGAGGAGGAGGAGAGAGAGGAGGAGGATGAGGAAGGAGGGAGGAGGAGAGAGGAGGAGGAGGAGGAGGAGGAGGAGGAGGAGGAGGAGGAGGAGGAAGTGCATCCTTTGTGTGCCCGCTCGAAGAAAGTGCGCCCCGGGAGTGTGATATTCTGACTTGGGGCGTGCTCCCGGAAGAGGAAGAAGTGCATCTCGGGCGTGCCCGTTCGAGGAAAACGCGCCCTAGGGGGGTGGTATTTTGACTCGGGGCCCGCTCCCGGGACGCCTCTGCGGGAGGAGGAGGAGGAGGAGGAGGAGGAGAAGGAGGAGAGGAGCAGGAGGAGGGGGAGGAGGAAAAGGAGGAGGAGGAGGACCAGGAGGAGGAGGAAGTGCATCCCGTGCGTGCCCGCTCGAGGAAAATCCGCCCCGGCGGGCGTCGTATCTGCCCCGGGACCCCCCCCCCCTCCCCCCCTCCCCCCCCCCCCCTGCGGGGAAGGGATCAAAGGGAAGGGGTTTCCCTTCGACTCCACTACGACGTCGTTTAATTTCGCTTTAGATAGCGCGCTTGAGGAGGAGAGCCCTGGGAGGGGGAGAACGGAGACGACGGAGACGACGAGTCGAACGGAGAAGCCCCTCACACACGCCGACAGGGCGGAGCCGGCGTTCCGCCAAGACTATTTGCCGGACGTTTCGCCCCGTCTTGCCCGGAAGCTCGCGGTTGGCATCCGTGCGGGCTTGAGCTGCCCCCCAGTCGGGCTGGCGCAGCTCACCTTTCTGTCTAGTGCTTCGTTGAGTTACGTGATCGGAATCTGTGGCAGTGATGTCGGCCGCAATTGGCCTTTCTCCTCTGTTTCGGCAGGAGGCGCTGTACAGGTATTGCTGATTCGCCCTCTCTCCTCCTTGCGTTCCTGTCCATGTCAGTGATGGTTGCAGGTTTTGCAGCGTTTCGGGCCACCTGGGATGCATTACCCATCGTCGTGGACCTCCTCTCCTGCGGCTGTTTCTTTTGTGCTCGACTGGGGTGTCTCGGGTACGCAGTCTAATACTTGCCACTCCCCCTCGAACTGCGCATATGCTGTGGAGGTCCCAGCCGCTGGTCATTGTCGCGCGGCTCTGGCGATTTGCCTGTCGGGCTCTCAATGTATATGATTGTCCTGTGCGCTGCCCTTCCCAGCAGGGCAGGACCTCGGGGTCCACCTCACGGGCACAGTGAGGTTGCCATGGCACTGTGTAGCAAGTTGTGATGATCCAGTTGTGGCCGAGGCCCTCAGACCCCTGGAGGCTCCAAAAGGTCCCCTGGAGGAGGTCGAGGGGTCTGGGTCTATGAGGGTTCATGGAGGGCCCAGGCCCCACAAAGGGGAAAAGGCTTCCAGAACCCTGGATGACCGATCCTCGAAGTGGCGGCGCGCGATTCGGCTTTCTGAGAAGGACTCAACAGGGGCCAGAAAAGTAAAACACCTTGTAGTCTAGAACGTCGTCGTCGCGCTCATCGTCGTCGTCGTCGTCGTCGTGCTCGTCGTCGCCGTCGTCGTCGTCCTCAACGTCGCCGCCGCTGTCGTCGACCTGGGCGCCGTTGTTGTCACCGCCGCCGTCGTGGACCGAGAGGCGTCTACGTGACCGTGTCGCCGCCGGAGGCGGGCCACGGCCCCCCGGCGCTGGGCCTCGCGCACCTCACGGAGCTCGGCGGCGTGGACGTGGGGTCGCTCCAGCCTGGGCGGCCCGTGGACGTCCAGGTCACCGCCAGCTGTCGCGCCGCCCCGCTCCGCGCAGGGACGACGCTCGAGGGGGGGGGAGGATGGAAAGGAGGGTGCAGACAAGCTAGGTGCGTTCGCGCCATATTTGACATCATACCCCTCCCACCCCTTACCATTGCGTAGAGCCCTTTTCTATCAGCGCAGTAGGCTGCTGAACAGGGCAGCGATCCCCAAAGGATATGCGATACATCTCATAGTACTGCGTAGCCCAGCATTGCATATCATACCATTGCAGCGCAAGGCATGGCATCGAATAGTGGCACATAACATAGCACTGCATGGCATGACATTGCGTAGCCACCGCATTGCAAAACAAGGTATGGAATCGCTCCATAGCGGCGCATCACATAGCATTGAATTTCAGACCATGTTTGCATACTGTATGACCGATCATTTGGAGATGAGGCCAGTGCTGCAGCGGGAATATCGTTCGGAAGGGCCGAAATGCGAAAATGAGGCTGGAGCTGCAATGGGAGCACCATTCGGAATGACCGAAAACGCGGCACCGAGTCCAGGGTTGCAGCGGGATCACCATTCGGAAGGATCGAATACACAAAAACGAGACCAGCGCTGCAGCGGGAGCACGACTTTGAATGACCAGAAGCGCCGAACATTTTGAAGGACCGAAAACGGTCGGATTGGACAAAGGCAGAAGACGGACCATCTCGCCCACATATTCGGAGGAGAGAGGAGAGTAATGTTCATTTTGTGTGATTGTTGAGGAAGGGGGGCTGCAGGAATAGGGGGGGAGGGAGGGGGATGAGGAGTAGGAGGATCAAGATGATGATCATGAGGGCAGGGAAGGAGGATGATGAGGAGGGAGGGTGAGGGGGAGGAGGAGGAGGAGGAGGAGGAGGAGGAGGAGGAGGAGGAGGAGGAGGAGGAGGAGGAGGAGAAGAAGAAGACAGTCGATGTGGTAGAAGGAGACGGGGGATAAGGGAGAAGTCCTTGTTCTGGGGCATGCCTTCCGTGGTGGGCTCTCCTTTGTGCTTGGCCGAAATTGGCCTTGTAGAAGTTGCGCTGGGGACAACTCTCTACCGGCGAAACGAAAGGGAGACAGGAGAAAGTGGAGGAGGAGGAGGAAAACGAGGAGGGGGAAGGGTGCAGGGCGAGGGGAGGGGAGGGGTCGGAGAAGGAAGAGGGAGATAAGGAGGCACGTCGTCCAGCTGGGCAAGCGTCTCGTTGGCCGCAGGCCAGACGCAGCGACCGCGCACGGCAGGGTAGCGGTCGTCTTTCCTCGGAGGCCCCCCGGAGAACTCCGGCATGAGCGCGTCGAGCCGCACATGCCCACTGGTCTTGGCCATGACGTCCCCGTATTGTAGACATCAGCAGTGCCCTAATGGCGGAGGGTCGCGGAAGGGATCGCAGTTCACACCGCGCGGCGTGTTCGTCGTGCGGGTGCAGCAGCTCGCCGCAAGCCTCGCTGGTTGATGCCTTATCGTTCGCGCATGCCGTCCCTAGCGGAGGAGGCAAAAGGGGGGATAGCTCTGGGGCGGGCCTTGCACGCATTCGCCGCATAGTGGTGCTGGACCGCTGCCCGCTGCCATGGGCCAGCCAGCCGAAACCGAACGAGTCGTGCTAGGACACGGAGCTGGCCCGCTTTTTCCTCCTGCCCGTGATGCTCACTACGCAGCCGCTCAAGATGCCCTGGGTGTCGCCGCCGATCTCTTGCACGTTCCACTTCCCCTTCCTGGTGCCGTTCATGGGCTCGCTCCCCGTTGCGATGTCGAGCTAAAGGTCCCGCGGCATGGTGTTGGACGGCTTCCTCACCCCGCCCGCGACGATGCCCAAGTTGTTCGTCCTGCTGCCCCTGGTGATGGCAAACGTTCACAATCCGCGCTGCAACGTGGCGCTGGGCCTCTTCCTCGGCTTGCCGCTGGTGTCCCTGAACGCGTCCTTAATGCCGCTGCCGCAGGAGGCGTTCAGTTTCCTCATGACGCTCGTGCTGATCACGGTGTTGTCTCGACTCTATGGGAAGGGTGCCACCCCTGCGCGGGTTCCATCCTTCTCCCATTGCGGCCCAGCCTGCTGCACCTGCTGGCAGTGACCGTGGAGCTGGGCAGCCATCCTTCGCGGCACGGCCGCTGAGCCGTTACGTCGCCATGCGCCGCCTCGCTGACATTCGGGCGCGGTCGATTCAGGCCAAGCTGCTCCGCGAGTGGTGACGGGCCATGCGACGCGCCTTCCTGAAGGGCAACGCGCTGTTCTACAGCTGCTTCGACGTTTGGGCAGATCTCGCTGCTGCCGCTGGTAGCGACCGCTTGCACGATGACGAGTTCGATGGTGCTATGTCCCTTGATCCTGCCGTTCGGGGCGAACAAGTGAATGTAGCTGAATCTGGTGGTGCCAACGCTGGAGGCGCCCCTGGTGCCGCACGAGTGCACGACGCCGATCCTGCCGCCGCAGCCAGTGGCGAACAACCCTTTTCTCGATGTATATCCTGACGCCCCCAGAGGCGTCCGAGCGCACGATGTTGTTCATGCCGCTGGCGCTGGTGGCGAACAACCCCAAAGCGAAGTTTATCATGATGCCCCTGGTGGCGATTGTGTGCATGCTGTCGCTCGTGCGGCTGCCGCTGGTGGTGTACGACCCCTTCACACAACAGCAACGAAAACATCCTGACGCCCTTGGCGGCGGCCGAGTGCACGATGTCGATCCTGATGCTGCCGCGCGTGGCGCTCAACCCGTTCGCGAAAATGTTTGGATGCCCCTGGTGACGAACGAGTGCACGATGTCGTTCCAGACGCTGCCGCCTGCTGGCGAACGAGCCGCCGCCGCTGGTGGCGAACGATCCCTTCATGAAGATTACCCTGAGCGTAGGATCGCTGTCGAGGCTCGCCCTGCACTTCTGCATGATGATGCGCTTGCTGACCTCTACCCGAACTGCTTCGACGCGCGTGCGCTGGAAATGAGACCCTTTTCTGAGGCCATCCGTGTTTGCAGGCCCGTCGGTGTGGCTAGCCCTGCGCTTCCTGGCTTGCGCGCCCCACCCCGCTGTTTCCCGTTTTGGTGCCCTTCGCTTCGCTCGTCTTCCGCCTTTCCTCCCTCCTCCGCGCATGCTCCACCCATCCCAGTGGGTCCCACGTTCCCGAATGCAGATTTGCGTGCGCATGCAGTGCGGGGTCATCGCGTGCGTAGTAAGCAGCTCGAGCACGCGCACGCCTCATCACATACGAACGAACGCGATTTACAATCCAGTGCCGTGCTCATTGCAGCGCGCGCCTCACATCCTGCAGCCTGGCCCTAGTGCTTCTTTGGAGACGCGCGCCCCCCCCCCCCCAGGGTACCCGCACTCCTCCTCCTCCTCCTCCTCCGCGTCCTCCTCCGCTGTTTCCATCCCCCTGTTCCAGCTACTGTTGCTTCCCCTCTTGCTACCATCCTCTTTAAACGTTCCCTTTTCATTCCGTATTTTCCCAACAATCCTGTGGTGTTGCGTCTTCGCTTAGAAGAGACAGCGCCCCGCGTTCCTTTTCCTCTCCTTCCTCCTCCCCCTCCTCCCTCCTCCCCATTATCCCATCCCTGCCTCTGCCATCCGCACCCAGTACAGCGTTTGGTGGCCTCATAAGGAGCGCCACCGAAGGCCTCCCTCAGCGGCGGTGTTCGCATGCGCCCCCCCCCATTCGGTACAGCGCTTCGTGGCCTCATAGGGAGATCTACCAAAACAATCAGCGGCGGTATTCGCATGCGTTTCCCCCACCGCGAAAGCGCTTCGCGGCCCCATGGGGATATCCACCAACGGCCGCAGAGGCGGTGTTCGCATACGTCTCCTAAGATGACCCTGGTGTCTGTGCGGGGCTTGCCAGTACACGCCGTCGTTTAGATAAGCTTCGGGAGGTGCTTTCTGAGAGTGATGATATGTTCCTCGGGCCTGCGACCCGGGGAGTTTGTCCAGGCGCTCGCGAGGTACACGGGCGATCGTCGCGACTTTCGGTTTCCTTCTCTTCCTTTGGCGCTTGTGCTTCGGCTTCCTGTGGACGCTACCCAAGAGCTGCCTCGTGAGGATCAGCTGCGGCAGGTGAGGCGTTTGCACAAATCTGAAGGGGGAAAGGAGGACGTCAGGTCTGGAAGTTCTTTCCTCGTATGGGTCAGACTAGTGTTGTCCACTCCTACTTGCAGTCCCTTCGTCAGAGGTGGCGGCGTCGGGGCCATTGGTGAGCTCCATTCCCCCCTTTGGGCAGCGCCGCCGCAGCGCGACGCCGCTCGTCACAAAGTTTTGGATCGTCCGCAGCGCGCGGAGAGAGACAGGGAGGTTGAGGCGGAAACGGAAGCGGAGAACGAGGAGTAGGAGGAGGAGGAGGTGACTTTTGAGGAGGAGGCAGGGAGGAGGCGGAGAAAGCGAAAGAGGAAGTAAGAGGCAGGAGGTGGGAGGAGGACGATCGGCGGCGGGTCCAGAGAGGAAGTGCGAAGGGGCAGGCCTACTGAGAAGGCGGCGGGGCTTCTCAACAACCTTCTGGCCTTCCGAGAAGTCGTTCGTGTCTTCGGAGAAAAAGGTTCCGAAAACTTTTCAGAAGGCCAGGTGCCTCTTGAACCTTTGCGAAGGCCCGACCCGTTTGCATTTCCCCTTTGGGTTCGCCGCCGACATGAAGGAGGAGAAGGAGTGAGGAGGATGGGGGAGGAGGAGAGAAAAAGGAACGAGGAGTAGAAGCAGCAGGTGGTTTTCGCAGTGCCTCCGTTCAGGTCACCGCCGTTGACGTCAGCCTGGGACGCCTCGCCGTGTCCATCGTGCAGGACGGGGTGGGTGGCTGGCGCACGGCGGTGCGGGGTCGGGAGAACGCGCGTCGGCCCCAGTGCAATCGCAAAGGGTCGCTTGAGCATCGCTTCTCTTCCCCTCGTTTTCTCCCTCCGCCTCCCCTACTCCTCCAGTCCTTTTCTTCATAAGTGACTCCTCCCAGTCGCACCCCGAGGCGTGTCGGCAGGGCGGGCCGGGCGTTTCGCTTGTGACTTCCCCACATACTGTGATCCTGAAACTCCGAATTTGCAGGTGCTTGACGGATGGAGGGCGGTCCGCTTCCGAAATGTGATTCGCGCTTTAGCGCCGCATGCATTCGTCCTAAGCATGTGCAGTAGTTTCGCGGATGCAGGGAGGGCCGCTTTCAAAATGTGCGCCGAGCGTATTCGCTTTTAACACATCGCAAGAGTTTTATGGATGGAGGGCGGGCCGCTTTCAAAATGTGGCTTTCGCCTTAGCGCCGCGCACTTCGCTTTACAAGCTTACATCCGGTTCAAGGATTATCGTGGCTAACGTACCAGAAATTGTGGTTTGGCAAGATATAGACGTGTCAGGGCGCAGCAGTAACGTGTATCAGCGGCGTTGAATTAAGTGGGCCCCAGAAGCGGCAGGGCCGTTTTATAACAGCTTCCGAAGAAGAGGCTCTTGAAAATGGAAATGGTAAGAAAATGGCAACCAGAAGCGCCAAACAAACGGCTTTGGAATGGAAGCCAGAACCAACACCGGCAAACAACGGCGACGGAACTGGAACAAAAACGAAGCCAGAACCGGCAACCAAACTGCACAACGGAACCAGTAAAAAACGGCCTTGTCGTTTCCAGGGCCCACTGAGGTGTTGAAGTCCCAGGAATGGCATTCTGGCGTGATTCAGGATCGTGAAAGCGTCACAGTCACGGTGATTCACAGCGTTGAAGGTCCAGGAATGGCGTTCTGGCACAATTCAGGATTCTCAAACGGTTGCCGGGGGTGGACAGACCTCCTACCCTGACACGTCGATTAAGGAATTCTAGACGCTTCGCGTATCCCCACCAGCCCGTCCAGAAACGACGCCCAGGCGAGTAGAGGGTCGTCCTGAGGGGCTTTTCGACGTCTTGGGTGCCTCGGGGGGGCCTCTTTGGGCCGTTTGGGATCCTCTTGGGGGCCTCCTGGGGGCCTCTTGGGGCCATCTTGGGGCCATCTTGGGGCCTCTTGGTGCCTCCTGGGCGCTTCTTGGGGCCATCTTGGAGGAAATCGATCAAAGAAGAGGGGAGCTTCAATTAGTGCTGCCCCCTCTGGGGGCCAAAATGGGGCCAAAACCTTAGTAAAATCAATGATTTTGGCTTCCTCGGCGAGGCCGTTTTGGACGCTCTGACCGCTCCCCGCCCCCCCTGTCCAGGTCAGTGGGGAGGGGGTAGGGGGAGGGGTAAACCCCTCCCCGAAGGGGAAGAAGGAGGGGTGGAAGAGGAAACGCTCTAAACCACCGACGCCCAGAGGGCTGGTGGGATTGGCCGTTTTCGTTTCGCGAGAGGGCGTCGCGGCCGTCATTTTTGCGGGTCCAGGTCCGTCGATTTCGGTCCCAGGCCGTTTTCACTAAGGGGAGATCTACTAAAGGGAGGTTTGTCCACCGCCGAGGTTGTCTTCCAACGGGGAATGTCCTTGTTGTGAAAATGAATTTCTTTAGGGGCCTATGACTTGGGAACTTGGGCTTACACTTGTCCTCCTCCTCCTCCTCCTCCTATTTCGCCTTTCTCTCCTCCTCCTCCTCCTCCTCCTCCTCCTCGGCGGTCCCCAGGGCAAAGGTTTCATTCTGGCTTCCAGCGCTTCTCTCAGGGTTCGAGTTCGAGGGTGGGCCCAGAGTACTGGCCTGGACGTCCAGGGCCACAACTCCCAGCTGGGGGGCGATTTTTTTCAAACAACATCTCACGCAGAAGCGGTGGTCGTATCCATGTAGTAAACCAGCGCTGGCTTCCTTGAGCCCTCGCGTCTGACGTCGCTGCCATCCGACCCCCGCAGCTTGCCTGCTTTGCAGACCTGCGCGCCGCCACGCTGCATCCGGGCAGGCTGTGCTGACCGGCGAGGGGGAGGCGGGCGAGGAGGAGGCGGAGGAAAAACGCGGCGAGCAGACATACCCAAGCAGGAGGAGAGGGGGGAAGGGAGACGGCAAAGGAGCAGCAGGCAAGCGCGCACGACGGGGGCGGGCGGGGGGCAGGGGGGGCGAGGGTCGTCGGCGGCGTACGGGTGGTCGTCGTGGGTCGCCGTGTCACTGGGGGTCGTCCCGGGTCGTCGTGGGGCGATTCTGCTACAGGCGCCCCAGTCCATGTCAGGAGGGTCGACAAGAGGCCTAGTAGTGCCCGCCGTCGTAAGAGTAAGCTGTGTAGTTTAGCCAAGCAGGGGGCCAGGCCATTTGAAGTCGCTCGAATGGGCTTCATGCTGTCAGTCCTCTACGGTGCTGCTTGTCTGGGCTTGGACCCCTCTCGGGTAGACCAGGCCCGCATCCTGATGGCCAGTGCCCTCGGGGGGAACTCGATCGGGAAGGACCTCCGTTTCTGAATTCTTGAGTGCGACCCCCTTGTGGATGCCTGCACCCGACCCCTGGTCAAGTGGGCATCGGCTGTGTGGGAAGGCCGCCATGAGGATCTGATGAGAACGGCGTGGAGGAGGGCCTCAGTCTCGGCACCGCAGGCGAAGCCAGGTCGCAGCCGGTGGCGCAGTATAACATGTCCCGAACCGGCCGTGCTTGCCACCCTCCGCCGTCTGTCATGGAACTGGCCCTCCTTTTCTGTTTTCCAGAACCACCTGGAGGAGCTTTGGGACCTACGCCGTGCAGCCCCTGACTGCATCAAACAGCTGATGTTTGCCCGCCTGGAGTTTGTGGAGCTGTCGGCTTGGGCCGACTTCAGGAGCCTCGGGATCTCTCGGCCCTTCCTGGAGCCATTCAGGGCGATGTTGAGTCGCAAGGCGAACCGTTCCTTTCCCCACAGAGGAGGTCGTCTATCCTGGCGCACCTCGGGCGCGGTTTCTGGGCCCAGGACAAAGTCTGGCGAGCTGGGGGCGACAGGTCCTGCCAAACTTGAGGATACGGGGTAGGATGCCAACACCACGGAATGTGCCGCTGCGCGAATCAGGAAACCGCTCGGGCTGAGACAACCGAGGCGGAGAATCTCCAAGGAAACGTGCATTTGGCCGAGTCCTCCTCCTCTGAGTCCCTCATCATCTCTCGTGGTCTGGTCGAGCACCCTTTGGAGGATCCCTTCCTAGGCTGCACGCCTGCCCAGGAAGAACTCAACTTCAATTTTCAAAACCCGCCGTTCGCTGGAGGTTGGGCCTACACCGATGGCTCGGGTAAGGGCCCTCCTGGGCTCAAGAGCGTTGGCTGGGGTTATGTTTGTCTGGGGCAGGAAGGGGGCCGTGGTTCGGGGCATGCGCAGCTCCCTTCAGGGCTCGGGTGCCAAGCGTCAGCGTTTCGTGTTGAGACCTGTGAGCTGCTGAAGGCCCTGGAATGTACCACCCCGCCTCTCCGCGTCGCCATCGACAATGGCACTGTTATCCCATGTTTAAAGAGGGGCTGTAGTTGGCTTCCGCTCTTCCAAGAGGCCTCACGTCGATCTCTAGGCCCGCGCTCGGTTTTTGTTTCAGCACACTTTCCCTAGGGACGGCAATTATGTTGTGGCGAAGGTTCGGGCCAACTCCCGAGGGCCTCGGGACGGCTCCCAGGAGGCGCTCCTCTACTACCAGGGAAGCCAGTGAGCTGGCGTTGAGGCCAAGAAGCGGGCTGATCTGTAGGCGCTTCCCCGGTCTGGACCTCACGTTCGGGGGAGGCGCAGGCGGTGCTCAGTCTGGTGGCGGGGGTGACGGCCCAGACGGGGGGACTTTGAGGATTCCACGGGGAGGCCCGCCGCAGATTCCGTCAGGCCCCCGTGAACGCCGCCAGGGCCCACCAGAGGGGGAGAGGGCTCACGCTCTCGTCTGGTCTCGGGGTGCCTGGAGGTGTCTTGTGTGTTGTAGATTTGCCCTGTCCCCCAAGGCCAAGTGACCCTGAGGCGCAGGCCGCGTAAGGGGAATATTCGGGGAGGGGGAGCACCTGATCCCGTCGGCCTTGCGCGGGGAAGCGCTCGGCCACGAGTTGTACCGCGCTGGCCAGCACGCGTTTTGCGATCGTTGCGGTATGTTTTCGAGCGAGCGGGGATGCAGGCTGGCCCTGCCGTGCGAAGGTGTACCCTCGAAGCCCACCGCGGAGTATCGCAGCTCGCTCCTGCGCCGATGCAGGCACCCTTATGAGGTGAAGCTCTCCCTAGGTGGGGCGTGCCGTTCACTCTTCCAGTGTGAGTGGGACGCCTTCTGGGACAGGGCGCTGGACTGAACGTGGGGCGGGCGTTGAGGCACCTCCTCAGTGTGCCCGCCCGCCCATCCCTTCTATCTGACGGCTGGTTGTGGCTAGGAGTGCCAGGCTGGTTCTATCAGCACAATATCCTCCTCTTCATCCTCCTCCAACACTTCTCCTTATACGTAACTCCTCCCTGTTGTACCCCAGACGTGTCGGTAGGGCGGGCCGGGCGTTTCGCTTGAGACCCCCTCGTCATTTATGGTCTTGAAATTTGAGATCAGCAATGGCTTCAAGAATGGGGGGCGGGTGGCTTTCAACATGTGACTCTCGCCTTAGCGCCGCGCGCGCTTCTTTTTGAACTCTGCCGCAGTTGAAAAGAATGGGGGGCAGGTGGTTTTCAAAATGTGGTGCCCGCCTTCGGGCCGCGCGTATTCATCTTCAAGTCTGCCACAGGTTAAAAGGATGGATGGCGGGCCGTTCTCAAGCTTCGGCTTTCGCCTCACGGTCGCGTGCATTTATTTTAAACGTCTGCAGAAATGGTCAACGACGGAGGGCGTGCCGTTTTCAAAGTGTTGTTACCGCCTAGCGCCGGGCACATTCGCTTTAAAAGTGTGCGGCCGCTTCAAGGATGGAGGGCGGGCCATTTTCAATCGCCGACTCTCGCTTCAGCGCCGCGCACATTCGTTTTAAACGTTTGCTGCAGCTTCAAGGATGGAGGGGGGTATTTTCAAGCTGTGGCTCTCGCTTTAACGCCGCGCGCATATGCTTCAACAGCTTGCAGCCGTTTCAAGGATCCGTTTAACTGAAGTCCTTGGAACGCTGCGTTCTGGCGCGATTTAGGATTGTCAGGACGCGCGGTCACGTTGATTCGCCGTGTTGATATCCCAGGAATAGTGTTTTTGGCGCGGCTGAGGGTAAATTGGACGCAATAGTCAAGTTGATTCCCGGCGTTGAAGTCCTAGGAATTGTGTGCTGTCGTGATTGAGAATTATCGGGCCACTGTCTTGCAATGGGGCACTTGCCGCAATTCATATTTTGTGTTGCTTTCACTTGTAGTGAACATGGAGGGAGGACGTATTGCAAAATCGATGATGCGTCTTGGTTTAACCTGGTCCTCCTCTTCCTCGTCCTACCCCGTGTCCTTTTCCTCCTCCTCCTTCTCCCACTCCTCGCCTCCTCCTCCTTCTCCTCTTCCTCCTCCTCCCCTGAAGCTGGAGAGGCTGCGTGACTGCATCTGAAGAGCGGTCAGAAGAGGAGGAGGAGGAGGAGGAGGAAAAGGAGGAGGAGGAGGAGGAGTGAACGGGAGGAGGAGTAGGAGGAGGAGGAGGAGGAGGAGGGGTGAGAGGAGCAAGGGGAGGGGAGCGGGGGGAAGTTGCGATGGCCAGCGGCCGCCCGCCAGGCCCAGCAAACAGGCACGAGTTGGCATCTCAGGGTGCTGGTGGGCGCTGACAGAGTGCCGTCTCGTTGGATCCCGGTAGAGGCGTGTTGGCGCACGTGGTGATTTCGGTCGTACGGGTCTGACCTTTTTACGCGCCCGTAATATAGTTGTTCGGTTCCCCATGGCTGAACCCAAGCCTCAATGCTCGACCCTGTCACGCTTGGTCAGGAGGCGCCTTGCCTTTACCATGGCCTCTCCGAAGACAATCTCGTGGACGGTGCTGGCGTCCGAAGCTACATAAACAGGGGCACGCGAGGGCATCGCTGATTTTTACGTGGTAGGAATTCTGAAGGAGCGGAAGGAGGAGGATGGGAGCGGTGGTGACGGTGAGGATGCTGGGGGCTATGCTTTGAGGGTGAGGCTGGCGCTGACAGTGGTGTTGCTGCCGATGCTGCTAAGGAGGGTACTGGTGCGCAAGAGAAGGCATATGAAGAAGATGGTGCCGAGGAGGGTCAGGTAGGTGATCATGATGATGCTGCCGATGAGGAGATGTATTGATGACAACGACGGCGATTCCGATAACGAATATGATTGCGAGGCTGCTGTCGATTATTTTGGAATAGGGGGGATGGCCAAGGCGAGGACGAAAAACATAACGACGACGATGGTAATGATGATGACCCAAATGCTTACAGTACAAAGGCATCGAGGACACGAAACCACACTATGAGGGGGGGCAGCGGTGAGGTGGATGTGCACCTCAGGGGAAGCACGGGTGCGCGTTGGAGGATGACGCGGAGAAGTATAAGGAAGGATGGGGAAGAAGTGCGATGAAGGGGGAATTGGGGTGCATGATGGTGGCATGAGCAATGGAATGAGGGATGGGGATGGAGATGGCGGGAGTGCAGGATGGAGGAGCAAGAATGATGAAAACAGAGGTGGGATGATGATGTTGATGATGATGAGGAGGAGAAGGAGAGCGAGGAAGAGGAGGAGGAGGAGGAGGAGGAGGAGGATAATGGGCAGAGTAAACCCAGGATGTGGCAACGTCCCGAGTCTCCTCGTCAGAAGTCCCTACGAATATTTTTTTCCACAGCGGGAAGCGCCCCGTGTGGGAAGACGTGTGCCTCCCCGTCCCCGCCTGTGCTGCTCATTCAGGCGAGGGCCCTCGTCTTGTAAAAGAGTCGTCACCGATCCGTGTACTTGGTGCACAAACTTACAAGTCAGCTCACACTTCAGCAGGAGGTGACACGCGATGAGACCTTCTTGAAAGCGAGCCACCCTCTGTCCGTTTAGCCGTGGCGCAGTTCTGCATGCTTGGATTTTAGGGCAAGAGGAGAGATTATTCAAACGACCGCCCTACATCCTGGTAGCCGTTGGAATCGTTTTACTTGATGTGCGCGGAACTTTGACGGATACCAGGTATACACATTTTGGATTGGGCCGCCCTCCATCCGCGTAGCTGTTTGAAGCTTTTCAGACGAGTGTGCACGGCTCTCATGCGATGGGGACATTTTGGAAAATGGCCATCCCTTCACCCGTGCAACTGTGAGAAATGCTCAGCTTCAGGACCTCGAAGCTGTGAGGGAGTCACCGATCAGTGGCACCACGTGGCAGGCTGCTGAGTTTCCCCATGCGGCGACGTGGCAGGAACGACTACAGCGACGACAACTACGACGAGGGGGGGCCATATCTCCGACGTTTGAGTTTTTTTCGCAACGTGGGCCCCTGGAGGTCTGGACCTCTTCCCCGGGTCCATCCCGAGCTGTTGTTTGACAATTTGTGGGGTCAACGAGGGCCCCCCACATGCCGACATCGGCGAAAAAACACTGTCTCGTTTTTGTAGGCCACCCGCAGGAGCGAGAAGATAACCGCGATTCGCGGGTCGCGTCGCGGTCAGGGCCAGAGCAGCGGCCTTTCCCAAGGGCGGCGGCCCGAGGGTGCCACGGCGCGAAGACAATGGCGCGTCGTACATCCCGTGGCGTTCAAGGTTACACGCCGACGGTGGCCCAGACTCGGCCAGTCTGGAACGATCTGGCGTTGTCAGAGCACGACACGCGTCTGCCGTAGATCTCTTCCGTGCGCTTTAGGCTTGGCGCGGGCGCGGGACGGCCGGCCAGGCCGCGTGAGCCGCGGCACGGGCGGCCGGCTCGCCCGCCGGCGTGCGCGCGCTGACGCGGCGGCGCGCCCGGTGGCCCTACTCGTCGTCGTCGTTGTCGTCGACGTCCTCTTCCTCCTCCTCTCCCTCCTCCTCCTGCTCCTCCTCTTGTTCCTCTTCCTCCTCCTCCTCCTGCTCCTCATTCTCTTCCTCCTCGTGCTCCTCCTTCTCGTGCTCCTCCTTGTCCCCCTTCTCGTCGTCGCCCTCCTCGTCGTCCTCGTTGTCCTCCTCGTCGTCCTTCTCCTCTTCCTCCTGCTCTTCGCTCTCCATTATCTTCTCCTCCTCCTCCTCCTCGTTCTCCTCCGGCTCTTCATCCTCCTCGTCCTCCTCCTCCTCCTCCTCCTCCTCCTCCTCCTCCTCCTCCCCCTCCTCCCCCTCCTCCTCGTCCTCCTTCTTCTCCTCGCCCATCCCCCATGCACAGTCTACGAGTTGGGTTTCTCCCCGAGCAAAGAACATTTCTCCATAGACAGATCCTTCAGCCTCGCAGGACTGTGTCATGGCGGTCTGCGCGCTCGTAGACCTGGGTGCTTGGTCAGTGATCCTCCTCCTGCTCATCCTCCTCGTCGTCCTCTTCCCCGCACTTTCGCAGTCCATTTCTCATCCCCAACCCCCCAACCAAATAATCCAGCCGTGCAGGAATGACAGGGGACTGGGGACACACACTAATGGAACGCTTCGGACACATTGCTATCGAGGATGGACGTTCCCCACCGAGTTGGGCGCCCAAATTATTGGGTCTGTCGAAAGTCCTGCCGCGTCGGGGATTGGGGTCGCCAGACCTCTTGTTGGATTTTGTCGCTTCGTACAAAGTCACGACGGGCGTTTTTTCTCATTGCCCGTTTCTTGGGGCCCTCAAGGCCCCCGGGGCTATTACATTGACACCCTGGCGACAGAAGACCCTGAAACATTTGACACGATGTATTTTGGGGCCTCGATGGGGGGTCACGATGGGGGGATCGGAATATGGATGGGGATAGGGATAGGGGCAGGGATATGGACATATGGTTGGGAATTTAGCGATGTGTGTATTTGTATGTGCAATCGCGATGGGGATCGGAATGGGGATGGCGATAGGGATAGGGATATAAGATAGGAATCGGGATAAGAGGGAGAAATACGGAGAGGGATGGACTATGGGAGACAATGGGAGGCGAAGGGAGGCACTGGGAGGCAATGGGAGACAATGGGCGACAACGGGAGACAATGGGAGACAGTGGGAGACAACGTCGCCGCACCGATTCCGGATCCAGCAGCGCACCTATTGGTTTCGAAGTGAAGACGTAGCAGCCTTACAAACAAGCTTCTCAGAAAAAGCGTATCGGGATGAAAGGCCAGTCCCCAGGGATCCACTTTGCGGAACAATCACCACATTGGAGGTCCGTTCTTTCGCCATCGAGGCAGAAATCCTGAGGGAAATGGGTCCTGAGGTGTTTCGCTGCTTTCGGCTTCCCCCAGCCCCCCGTTGGCCCTGGGGCTGTTAAGTAACGACTCCAGATGAAAAGCTGGTCCTGGGGGGAAAGCCCGGGATCCAGGACCCGCTTCCATCAGGTCCTGTTTCTTGTATATCGATCTTTCGGGGCGCTGGTAACGGGGTTAGACACTGACGGGGTTCAGCCATTACCTTCAGGTCCCCTCTGGCCTGTGGCGCGCTCCAGAAAGGGCCTCGCTTTCAAGGGATCGAGAAGTCGGCATCTTTTCCTTGGCGGAAGCTGGCGGAAGCTTGCGGAGTTGATGGGAAGTCGGCGGACAGCGGCGCAAGTAAAAGCGAGACGTCAACATTTTTGGGTTCAGGGTTTCCGCAATCGGCCATGTGCAGCCGACCCCTGTACCCCGTCCCCAGACATCCGACGATGTGATCTTTCAATCCGCAGCCCCAGAGGTCCCGACCGCTTTCCTGGAGCTAGCTTTTCGTCCCAGATCCATTGTTGATACTGATGGCACGGGCCCAGTAAACAGCGCCTGCAGACAGATGCGACAGTTCCCTCAAGTCACACACGTGCCAATTCGAATGCGAGCAGCATCACGTAGCGAGGCGGTCTCCCTGGCGGCGTGCAAGTCCTGCGCCCTCGACGGCAGTTCGCGGCATAGGCCCTCCACGTCGTAAGTGCCCTTGAAGTGTGCCGCGGAAGTTTTCCGGTGGGCCTGGTACTACGCCCTTGCGATCGCCTCCCAGCACCGTTTCGGGAATGTCTTGGTCATCTTCTCCCGCGTCCACGAAACAACCGTCTCGTGCAGCATGATCTCCTGCAGCTGGCCTGCAACGTCGGGACCATCTTTGAGCCAACATGGAATCAAACAGGAACCTCGTACATTCATTGGTTTTCGTAGATTTGCAGCGTCGGAGCCATCGTGGAACCAAACTCGAATTCAAGGGTGGCGTAAGATTTGAAACATCGGAACCATCGCGGAACCCAGGCGGAACAACCGCCTTCGGACGCTAGACCGCATAAAACGACAGGGATCGACGAGGGTGGACTCGCCAGCCCTCCTCTTATTATCATACGAATTGAAGGCTGTCCATGGACCATCCGCGCCGCTCTGCCCTGGATTGGGGGAGGGGGGGTACCTTTCATTAGTATTCTAAGAGGGCCGCCTCGGCCCGAGCACCCCCCGTGATCGGAAACAGTGGGGAGCGGCAGTGCGATGGATTTTTGTTCCTTGTGCGTCGCGTCGCGCCCCGCTTGACGCTCTGGGCTGGGCCCTGCCGGGGCCTGTCGGCGGTGACCTGGGGCCCATTGCCTGCCAGACGCGCCGGAACCAGCAGGAGGCGCAGGAGAGGGCAGGAGCGTCGCTGGCGCCTGCCACGCGGGCTTTCCGACGCGCACCTCGACTGCGTTCGTCGCGATCCATGTCTGTGCCCGCCTCCTCCCAGGAATTTGACTTTGAGGAAACAAGTCGCACCTGTCTGTAGAGGCTGAAATCGAGAAAGGCCGGGATCGAGAAACTCAGATCGCCAGAAATCTGGACCACCCGTCACGGGCTCAGGAGCTATTGCGCGACTGGCCCAGGTGCCCGACACGGCCCCCGGCCGGCGCGGGTCAGCGCCGGCCCAGGCGCCCCCAGCTCTTGCCGCCGCTCGTCCCTCGTCCCTCCTTTTCGTCCTCGTCCTCGCCCCTCCTCCATGCTTCCTCCTCCATCTTCTCTCTCTCTCGCCCTCCCCCTCGTCCTCGCCCTCCCCCATCATCCTCTTCGTGCCGCTCGTCCTGGAGGCCCTGCTCGCCCTCGTCCTCGAAGTGGAGGGTTCGAAGATCGAGGATCTTATGTTTTTTTCGTTCGGGGATCGAGGATCTGGGGTGGACGCTTGTTGTTCTTGTTTTTTGTGGTTCACGGAGGTCTTCTGGAGGCCTCAGGGGGCTTCCGAGGCTCTCCAGGGACCCCAGAGACCTCTGGGGACCACTGGCTCGAGGATCGAGGATCGAGAAGTGGGCTTGCTTGGCATTTTGTGGGGTTTTCGGAAGCCTCTGGGGGCTCCGGGGGTCTGCAGAGACTTCGAGAGACTTCCAGGGGCCCTCCCGAGACTTCCGCCGTCCTTGCCCTCGTCCTGGTCTATTGCTTGTCCTCGTCCAGTCCACGTCCCCCGTCCTGGTCCTCCTCGTTCTGGTCCTACTCGTCCTCGTCCTGGCGTTCCTCCTGGTTTTCCTGCCGTTCCTCCTGCTCCTCCTGGCCTCTCTGTCCAGGCCACCCTTCTGTTGTCATCCTCCCCCTCGCCCCGCTGCTGCCGCTTCTGCTGCTCCCGCTTCTGCTCCCTCGGCTCCTGCTGCTGCTGCTGCTGCAGTCAAGGTTCTGAAGCATGGCGACCACGTTGGGCTCAGGAGAGGCCCTGGTTCCCGGGCTGTTCTTCAGGTCTCGGGTGGGGCGGGAGCCTGCTCGTCGCCGAGGCTCGCCGTGGCCGTAAGAGCCCCTTCGTTCCGCGTTCGGCGTCCCCTGTGGCAGCACCACGACTGCACTGCTCCTGCCGCCGCCGCTGCACTGCTGCTCCGGCCTCCTCTTCCATCTCCTTCCCGGCCACCTCTGGTCGTCGCCCCTTTCTGCCCAGGCCAGGGCTCGCCCGCCCGAGCCCGCGGCGAACTTTTTGTATGTTCCCCCTGCGCGGCCGCGCGCGCCGAGGTGGTCCAGCAGTCGCATCCTCTTTCGCCTTCTCTTCCTCCGCATCCTTTCATCCTCATCTCCAACCTTTGTCCACATCTGCATCCTCCTCCTCCTGGTTAATCATGTGTCACCCTCGGCCGCGTCCACATCCTCACCATCATCTTCCTCCTCATTATCGTCCTCGTCCTCATCATCATACTCGTGCTTAGCTTCCTTCTCCTTTTGCTGCTCTCTACCTTTTCCAGCTGTCCCTGGCTCTCCGTCTTCCCCTTTCGTGCTGCTCCTTATCATATGTATTCATTTGTTCCCTTCCCCTCCTGCTCCTCCTGTTCCTCCACCTTCTCATGCGGCCGGCCGCGCCCAGGTGGAAGGCATACTGGCGGCCGCAGGGGCTGTGCGTCCTCAGGCGCCCGTGGCTTCAGTGCCTGGGAGCGCCTTCATCATCATGGACACCGTTACGAATAAGTACTGTTCGGATGCATTCGCCAATGAATTGACAGATTTTTTCTTGCGGGCGAGGCTGTCCACTGCCGAGGAGTTGAGGTCCCTTTCGGAGGTCACCCCATGGTGAATGGGCTGTCCTCCGTATGGCGGGATCCAGGCGGCGACTTAGAGATGCTCTGTCCTCCGGGCGTCCGGGCAGCCGTCATGCAGGTCGTGAAGACAATTTGCCCCGTCTCGGCGCCTGCTGCCGAGCCGGCGGGGGAGCCCACAGCCCCAGCAAAAGCACGGGAGTTGCGTTTCTTGCAAGCAGCCCTTGCGCTCAGCAGCGGGTCTGCGACGTCAGTATTGGAGGAAGATGGCCAGGACGACTTGGGCAAGCTCATAGAATCTGTCAGCGTCGGCGAACCCGCACTTCGCACCTACCCCTCGTGCAAGCAG